GACATAAAGCACAGTCTGACTTATCTGGGCAAAAATCAAGAGCAGAGCTTCATCAGGAAATCCTAGTGACTTTTTACCACTCCATTCCATAAAGGAACAGGGAAGTCAATATCTAAAGCTAATGGTTGCAATTACTTGTTTCTTTATTCAATATGGTTTTCTTTATAGAAGTGTGAACAGAATGCATGTGTTTGATAAGAACTGATCAGTTTTTTAAAACAAAGTTTGCATGTTGTCTTAAACAAATATTATACATTCAGGTAAGTTTATATCTGAATCCATGATGTTCTGAAGAACATTGAGCTGATATTCTCTGAAATGGTGTGCTGATTTGGCTTTTAAAAACGCAGCAAGTCTTTTGTGCCCTGTGAACTAAGACTGAAGATAGATAGCACACGTTTGATTTTATACTCAAATTTGTCTTTTTAGGGATGCAAGTGTTGGAATGGAATGGGATCCCCTTAACTTCTAAAACATATGAAGAAGTTCAGAGCATCATTAACCAGCAAAGTGGGGAAGCAGAAATATGTGTAAGACTGTGAGTTTTTCCCCATCTTTCTGTTTCCATTTTTTGGCTCTTCATGTCTCTTTTGATTTAAAATTGTTAAGGTGGAACCTTTGCCAGTCAGCAAGAGTTTCAGCATAAGAAAACAAAGTGAATACGAGGTTGCTGGCCTTCTTGTGCTCTGCATCAAAGGCTAGGGTGCAGCCCAGACTCCAGCCACTGTTTCTCTTGTGTCAGAGCCTCCCTTCCTGCTTTTAAAATCCGCTCCATTTGAAAGAAGGCCAGAACCCAATGTGCGTCATATTTTGAAGTGACTTGCATTTAATCCATAAAGATTTCACCTTAAATGATCATTTTTATCAGCTTTGACTTTTAACAACATGGCTAATATGTACTGGGTTAGCAGGGTGAGCATGCCTGGGAGCCGCTTTACATCATAAACCACTTCTCATTGACCTCCTGAAAAGAAAATCAAGGCAGATGGGAAAAGGTACCTTTGGCTTCAGGCTTCCTCAATGTCTTTCTTAATAATCTGTCTTAATTTTTAGGGACCTCAATATGTTATCAGATTCTGAAAATCCCCAGCACCTGGAACTTCATGAGCCACCGAAAGCTGGTAGGTGACAGCAGTCTGACTTCACCCATGGGTGAAGAGGAGAATACAGGAGTAGCCTGTTTGACATAGTACAGAGAGAATTATAGATTTCTATATAGAGGTGTGTGATTCTGAATGACATGAAAAGTGTTTTAGTTACATTATTAGCATCTTGGGAAACATATTGCATCTTTAACTGTTTGAGTAGGCAAGAAAACGATATTAAATATGTACTATATGAGCTCATGGTTTAAATTTGTTAAATGTGAATTCGTCCTGTAAAGGCAGTCCATGGAGCCATTTCTTTTTAATAATAATAATGTAGTTTTCAGTTACTACATTTTTTTTTTCAGCACAACTTGGCCTTTGTTATTATCAATACAGTGACATTAGGAAGTCTAGGTTACTGAAATAAACAGGCCAGGTCTAACAGAGAATGGAGTGTACACACACACACACACACACACACACACACACACACACACACACACATTCTGTGAGATTTCTTTCATAAAGAACAAAATATGGAACATTTAGAAGAGAGAAAATATGCATCCATACAAATTCTTGGGGGATAAGATAGGGTATTTTGTCATTCCCAGAGTTCACTCAATAAAATATTAAAAGTATTTTTTCTGAAAATGTAATAGAACCTCAGATCCTCATTGTAATTCATCATTATAACACTCCTATCTGGGCCTTCTAGATTTCCTGAAAAATAGATACATAAATTTTTTTATAGAGTACATGTGATTTTAAAATTTTAACTTAATCTTTAAATAATGTGGTGTCATTACCTAGAACTCCAGCAAGTGTCGCTGTCACAATATGGCTGACATATGGACCCAAGACGTAAAACCTTTTGTTTTGTTCTAGTGGATAAGGCAAAATCCCCAGGGGTTGATCCCAAGCAGTTGGCGGCTGAGCTGCAGAAGGTCTCACTCCAGCAGTCTCCACTGGTCATGTCGTCAGTCGTGGAGAAAGGATCTCATGCTCACTCAGGTCCCACATCAGCAGGATCCAGTTCTGTTCCCAGCCCTGGGCAGCCAGGATCACCCTCCGTGAGCAAAAAGAAACATGGCAGCAGCAAGGTGAGACGCCCGTGTCACGGCACGGGGCCACTTCCGGCTCTTTAATCTTGTGAGGGGTCATGTCCTAAGGATCTACTGAAACAGATATCTCCCTCTTCTGACTGGGCCAGATAGAAAATCACATCTTAAGACACTTCTGTTTTTTAGAAAGACAGCTTTGAACAATGTGGTACTTCATGATTTTGATGTGCAGCAGGTGGTCATTGTTCCACAAATCTTAGTTTCCTTCCACATAGAACATTAGCTTTATGACCTTTTGAAAACAAAAGATACATATTCTGCTAGATTTTTCTCAGTAAAAAGTACAAAGAGATTGAAATAACTTAGGTCAAAAAGAAAGAAAAACAGCAGCGACACAGGACCACCCTTCGGAATGTCATTCCGTTCTAACTCAGGGGTTGCTCTGCATGTGCATGTCTTTACTGGAAACACTTCCAGTTCTCTTTCCTTAAAGTTGCTGGGGACCATGCACTAGTGCTTCCACCTTGAAAAGCAGGCAGCGATGCAGTGTCACTTTTCTGACATGTCACTCTCCTATTTCAGAGGCATTCCTGCTACCGGAATGTCCACTGTGCCATCTCTCCTAGGGCCCTATGCTACTCATTCTAAAAGAACCTAGAAAGAACATTGGTTTCCTTTCTTAGAAATTATGGATGGCATGATGCTGTTGTGTCTGTCCTGATGTCTTTGTAATCAGTGTTGCATTATGAACCTTCCACTTGGCTTATGCTCCACAGCCACTCCATGACCATCCAGTTTCAGGGGTCATGCTCTACCAGAGTACAAAGATGGAAAAATCCCCTCCCTCTCATTGCAAGGAGACCAGTAGTTCTAAATCGTGTTCCCACTTCACCAGATTTGGCACAGCACCATATGGGAATGTGTTAGAATTGCATTTTTTACACAGACTTGACTATTTCAAAAACTGTGTGAATTGAGCTCAGGAACCTAGGTTTTGTAATGTCTCCAGCTGTTTGTGGTGCTCCTTAAAGTTTGAGAACCGCTGGTGTAATTACAGATGAAAAGATGCTCGGCCAACTTCAGCGCGGATAAGTAGAGTGAGGACACCTAGGAGAGTGGTGGTTATGAACCAATTTAGGTGAAAGGAAGAAAGGAGTCAGCATTCCAAGAGAGAACACAGAGTGAAAAGAGTTTCAGACAGAAAATTGCATGTCTGGAGGATAGCTGTTCACAGGTACTTTAGGGGTGAATAGAAGCAGATGGTTGCAATTGAAAGGCATGAAGGGTTGTGCTGAGCCTTTCCTCTACAGTCTGTAGGAAGTGCAGAGCTGGCGATGGGCATAAGGTAAGATACTAACAAGACACGTGCCCCATGAAGTCTTCGTGTGTTAGTCTTTCTGACATTAGAAATCTTTCTTTCTGTGTTCTTTTCCCTCCTTCCGTCCTTTCTTGCTTCCTTCTTCTCTGCTCCCTTCCTCCCCCTCCTCCTCCTTCACTCCCCGCGCCCCAGCCTGCCTGCTTGCCTGCTATCCTCTCTTCTTCCTTCCAAAGCTTCTTTCTGTGTCTCTTAAGACATTTATAAATTGACTGCGGTGGTCAGGCTCTTCCTTTATTTCCTATGTTGGCTGCAGGCACTGTAAAACCTAACTATTTTTGTTATAGTTAGTGACTTGCACAGAACAGTAACAAACAATCAAAATGTCAATGATCACCTGTGAACCTCTGTTCTTGTTGTGGGTATGAATTTACAAATTCGCCTTACTATAATATGTTAGCTTTGGGGACCATGGTTTAGAAGTTGGAAACTCTTGATGCAGGACAGCATTAGGAAAGTGGTATGGGCAGCTGGTATGACATGTACCCATTCTTTAATTTGCAAATAATTTGGGTCTGTGTAGCTTTGTGATATTTGGCTGAAATATATAGTTCTAGTGTTCCATTGTCCAAAGAATAACTGTTAATCACATGGAGCTGGTCTCAGTTGACATCTGTATGAATTGCAGGCCAAATTCCAGTAACTTTGTGTGAAAAAAAGACTGAAATAACACAATGTTTATTTTGCTAACATGGTGAAGTGACGATATTTATGATGAATATAAATATTATAATATTTCTTGTTTATTTTAGTGTGATTACTAGGAATTTTTAATTACTTCTGTGACTCATAAATATACTCCATTGGTTAGTTCTAGTACAGAGATTGCTTATCTCTTAGCAGTGACACTAATCAAATCTGCTTATTTTGGATATATATGTAGTGTGTGTGTGTGTGTGTGTGTGTGTGTGTGTGTGTGTTTAAGTGAAAATGTGAAGGTTTACCTTAGAGACAGGATCTACTACCTATTAGTCTTGTTTCTTTCTTTGACTTATTTTTAGCAGGTACCATTTGCTAAATAATATATTTGTAAATAGCTGATATTTTGAATTATCATTTGTTTCCTGTCTCCTACGCTAAAAGCATAGAGTTTTCTGAAGCTTTCATACCCTAATGCCAGGCACCAGCAAAGCTAGACATGCCATATGTTCTTACGATAATATACAGAATTAGGGTTTTAAATATTTTTATTTCTGTAGGCATAAAACTAACTAAATTAAATATTAAATTACTTTAAATATACTCATGCACTATATATAGCATAAAATACCCTAATAATACAAAATTCCAATTGAATTGCACAAGATAATATACTAAATCTAAATTAAATTATAATTAATATCAGTATATATTTAGATGTTTACATCTATTAAACATTTTTATTAGATGATTTTGATTAAAATATTTACATGTATTTGTAGAGTATTTTGTGAGTTGTATCCTTATTTTCTTACAATATATTTTGACTGTTTTATTTATTTATTTTGTGCAAGTAGCAGTAGGCATATGCATGCCATAGCGCATGTGTGGAAGTCAGAGTTTTTTATTCAGACATGGAGTCCTTGCTTGTCAGGCTGGGCTGCAAGCCCTTTTACACACGGCCATCTTACTGGCACTTTTGCAATCTTTTTATTCTAGTATATCCTGGGATGATCTTCTCAGGGTAATGAGCATATTCATCACATGTGATTATTACTGTTCATTCTTCTAAATGTTTTAGGTAAATACTCCATTATTGCTAATCAATAGAACTTTGGATCTTATTGTCATCTAACTTCCTCCTTCTCTTCCCTCTACCTTCTCTCTGATAAATCACCACTCCAGTCTCTATTCTGGGAAAAATTGAGTTTAGATTCCACATGTGAGAAAGTCATGTAATACTTGTCTTTCTGCACTTGGATTATTTTTTTTTTAGTTAATAGATCCTACAAACAATAGGATTTTACATTTTTTGATATCTCAATAGTATGCCATTAGGTATACGTCACATTTTCTTTTTCATATTATATTTTTATTTATTAATTAAATTTTTTCATTTATTTTACACCTGATCTCAGTTTCCCCTTATTCCTCTCTTCCCACACACACTCACCGCCTCCCCTCTACACCCCCCCACACACATCCTTTCTCCTCTGTCTCCATTCAGAAAGGATAAGGCCTCTAATGGGTGTCAACAAGCATCAAGTTGAGGCAGGACCGAGCTCCTCCCCTAGGAGAAACCTGATGCCAGGGAAACTCCCAGGAATCCACAAAGATGACCCAGCCTAGACTCCTAACAATAGTGGGGAGATTGCCTTAACTGGTTATCTTCTGTAATCAGATTGGTGACTACCCTGATTGTTATCGGAGAGCTTTTACCAGTAACTAATGGAAGTAGATGCAGAGATCACAGCCAAGCACTGGGCCAAGGCCAGGAGTCCTCCTTAAGAAAGGGGGGAGGGATTGTATGACAGCTAGGGAGTCACATTTTCTTTATTCTTATTCATCAGTTGATGAACTGATGCTTCTGTTACTTGGCCAGTGTTAATACTGCTGAAATAGATGTGGACAGGCAAAGGCCTCTTCAAATCTTCCTTAGATGTGTGGCCAGGAGTTGATTTCTGGAGCCTATTCTTGTTTTAGGATATATCGTGCTGTTTTTTAAATGGCTGTGCCAATTTTCAGTCCCACCAACCGGCTCCATGGCTCTTTTTCACCTCGGCCTTCCCAGTACTTTTCATCATAGTCTTTTTAATATAACCATTCCTTTGAGAGTGTATGTAGGGTTGATCTCTATGGTTGGGCTGATTTGTTCTTCCTGGACAGGGGGATGGGATATGTTGGGAATTTTTTTTTAATAGACCTGACCAGTTGATATAACTTCTTTTTTGACAGATACCTATTTAGGATTATGGTCCATTTTTTATAATTATTTGTTTTGTGGTATTAAATTTTTGAAGTTCCTTATATATTGAGGAAATTAATTGTTTGTTGGATATATTTTTCTGATGTTCTCTGTTCAGAGGGGTGTGTTTGTTTCTCTTCTTAGCGAGGCAGAAGATGGAAGTCTTATTTAATTGCACTTGTCAGTTGTAGATTTCACAACTGTTAACTTGGGGTCACAGAAAAAGTCTTTCCCCAGGCCACTGTTGAGCGTTCCTCCCCCATTTAAGTGATTATGTGTAAATAATTGCTGGAACATTAACAATATTTTGGATGGTTGCTTTTGAGTAATGTATATCGTCTATGAATTCTACTTTTTTTTTTTTTTTTTTTTTGATTTTTTGAGACAGGGTTTCTCTGTGTAGCTTTGCGCCTTTCCTGGGACTCACTTGGTAGCCCAGGCTGGTCTCGAACTCACAGAGATCCGCCTGGCTCTGCCTCCCTAGTGCTGGGATTAGAGGCGTGTGCCACTACCGCCCGGCAAATTCTACTTATTTTAATAAAATTAAAAATTATATAATGATACACAGAATTGTTTTATATATTTTAAAACCATTTAATAGTTATTCTTGAAAGGATATACTTTATTAGAACATTAGTTAATAATTTTTACATGATGCTTATATGAAATACAACAAAATTTTAATCTCCTTGATTTAACAATAAAAACCCACAAGCAAATATATAAACTATTTTAATTTATTATTTTGCTTTATCTACTTAAATGTACAGTTTTGTCTTGAAAGGTTTTAGCACTGGAATTCTAACCTGTCTTTGTTTTTATCTTTAAAATATGGTCTTCTAGATCATGGTGTAAATAATTTAACTGAAGTACATGTTAGTTTTATATGTTCTTATGCAATAGGAATTTGCTGTCATGATACCCTCAAAACTCTAGTAGGACTTGGTAAAAAGAAGTCTCACACATTTGAAATTTAGTTAGTTATTTGAAGAACATGTATTTGGACCTATTGTGGGGGAAGTAAAAAAAAATAAGTAAATGAACTTGTGAAATAGAATGCAATATTTAATATATGACAGAATAAAATATAATTATGGGGAAAGAGATGATAAAATTCAAAACCAGCTGCGGTAAGTTTTTCATGCCAATAATAGGCTATTCATGAAATAATTAGGGCTAAATAATTTAAGAATTATCTATATCCTAAATCCTAGTAGTTTTTTTTTAAAACCTTCATGTAAAATTAAAAACACTGTTTCTATTCTCTTCTTAGTAACTGCAGTTACATGTCTCTGGGACCTGTGCACCTGAAGAGCAATGCACAACTTCTCAAACTTATTACACAGTAATACTCCATTACCTGCTCCATAGTCCCAACCCGTTGGTTTTCTTGAAGTAGTTGTTTTAATACAACAGTTAATAAAACTAACTTCAAAACACATTACTCATTTAAAAGGACAACCGGGGTCTGTAAACTCAAACTACTGTAATTTTCACACTGTCCAATATGGATATGCCATTTAGCCTCCCCCCCCCCCCAAATTTAAAAGTTCCTGTCATCTTCATAGCAGAACCCAGGAGAGTGTAAATAAAACAAGCTTATTTTCCTCCCGAATCTGGTCCATTTTTTAATGAATCAAGGATACTTGAGAAAACCCAAGCTGTTTTTCCAATGTATAAACATGTCTAGGCATGTGTAGGGAACCCTTTTCACTGTTTAGTTTTCTTGGTTTATTAATTTAAAATAGAATACATACTAAATAAATCTGATTATTTAGTAGCAAGCATTAATTGTTTGAAGGCCAGCAGAGTTTCAGTGTTGGGCATAGGCTATGAGTGAGCTGAGCTACTACAAGATATGGAGTTGAGTACCTGTGACCCCTTGACCACACCAGTGGTTCCGTTAAGTTTATTCTTTGGTTACATAGATAACATAAATAATTACATAGTTGACATAGAGTTACCTTTTTTTAGTATGCTCATTATGAGATAAAATTATATTTAAAAAGTAGCTAAACAAGTATATGAAGATACTATAATGGATATTTTAGTTTTTCCATTCAATTACTAAAAGAAAACCAGTTTCCCATGCAAATAAGTAAACAGGTTTTAATGTGTAAGGTGATTTTCATTCTACATTGATGCCATGCTACCTAATGTTTTTATCATAGACTTGGGGGCAGAGATATCATCTCTATTTATATAGAGAAATATAAAGGAAATGTAACAAGTTCATAAACAACCATTTATTCAGCAGCATGAATTAGTTTACAAACTCACTTCTTTTAATTAATTAATTAATTAAATTTATTATTTATTTATTTTATTGTTTGTTTATTTATTTATTTATTTATTTATTTATTTATTTATTTATTTATTATTTTGAGAAAGAGTTTCCATATGTAACATTGGCTGGCTAGGAACTTCACTATCTAGACTTGGCTGGCTTTGAATTCACAGTAGTCCACCAACCTCTGCCTCCTGACTGCTGGGATTAAGGTGTGTAAGGTTTATGCCACCGCATCAGACCCATAGATTACTTTCTGAACTGCTTTGACAGCTCCATTTGCCTAAGGACTTATGAAGAAATTGAAAACTTATCTGAATTTTAACTCAAAATGACCTGTTCATAGGAAAACATTTCTTGGGTGCTTCACTGTGCAGTGAGCTAGAAGAAGAGGAGCATGGGACATGACTTTGACTGCAGCTTCTACGCTCCCAGGCAGTCTTACATAAATGCTGTTTCCTTACTGAATAGCTCTTTAAAACCTCTAAATACATAGGCAAAATGCTTTGAACAAAAAGTATTCATTTTGTAAGTAATTGAGAGTACTAATGATATAAAATCATGACTTCAATACAGGTTTTACAAAATGAAAAATAGATTTATGTATCCATAAACTTAAATAAATATGAGAATAAGTAGATGCTATAATTTGGAAGCAACCAAATGGATAAAATGTATTTTGTAGGCAGTGTGCTATAACCAACTGAAGTTAATTTCAAAAGACAGTTAAGATGAGAACACCTATAAATACTTTATTTATTAATGTAATATGTGGTCTTTATTATTACAGCCGACTGATGCAACAAAGGTTGCCTCTCATCCAATTACAGGAGAAATTCAGGTATGAAAAACTTTTAATATCATCGTTCTATCATCTTTTCTGTTTTTATCCTTTATCTATGTGAATTTCTAAGTCTGTTTGGATCTTTCACTTTCTATAACATATACAAAACTGTATAGGAAACACAATGTTACAGCATATAGCATGTCCGTGTGTGTGTGTGTGTGTGTGTGTGTGTGTGTGTGTGTGTGTGTGTGTTTGTGTGTGTGTAGAAACTAATCATAGCTCTGAAACTCCAGACTGTAAAATCCTCAGTCAGTAGATCCTGAGCTTCAGCTACTGTGTACTTGTTGGGCATTTCACACCCAACTTCTCCTTCCAAATACCTGAAGGCCTGTCTTCAAGCTTCATGAGTCCAATGATATCTCTTGTTAAATCATTGGTTTCTAATTAATTGATAAACAACCATCATAGGGAAGCTTTTTCATATTGTAAGTCATAATAACTTTGTCATTCATAAGGTAAATATTTTAACTGGAAAATAGAATAAAAAGTATAAAAATTGTTACTTTAGTACTGCATATAATTTTACATTTGCATATTATACTATCACAGTTTAGATATTAGTATGAGTCACAGTAACATGTTTTTAAAACTTGGCTTTATGCAATATCAAAAATTAATTCTAGGTAGATGAGATGAGTGCAGAGTCTTAGAAACATGAACATTATATTTATTAGAAATCCAGACAAGCCTGTGAGCTTTTGGATAAACTGGGCAATAACTGTTCAGTTTCAAGTAAAATTGAGATGAAGTAGGTAACTTTTTATAAAGAGTCACATAGAAATTAACACAGTACAAATTAGCTATCAGAGGACAGCAAGGTCCCAGTAAGGAAAAGCAGGTGTGTCTCCAACATGGTGTAAAGGAAATTCTCACAAAGACTTCACAGGGTAGCAGAAATGTGGAGGGGGAAATGTGTTCCTGGAAGCAATAATACACAGAAAGGTGTTGCATTCAGAGTCGAGCAATGACGGAATCAGCTTTGAGAGGCTGACCTCTTCAGAAAGAACCTTGGATGAAAGCAGAGGCGAATTCTCCCTCACATAATATAGTATTACATGTTTTAAGGAGATGGGCAGAGTGGGGGGAAGCATAATAAAAAGCTGTGTATCAATAGCCTACAGAAATATTACAAGAACAAGGGTACACAGACTGGGGAGTGATTGCACACACAGGAAAAAGCTAACGCGAAGCTGTGAGAATGCAGAGGGGCGTCCCAGAGCGCCTCAGGACAGAACCGGTGGAACTGTGCATGCCCTGCTGTGCATTCCTGACCTTGGTGTCCCAGTGCCAATCTTTTCACCAGACCTTCCTTCTGTCCCTCCACAGGCAACGCCGGGAGGACTCCAGCTTTTGATTCTTACTAGTTTTCTCCTACATTAACTCCTTACCTTTAGACAGATGTTTGCTGTTTCTGTTGGGTTTGATGTTCCCTTGTTTCTTCTCCTGCATCCGATCCTTCAGCAGTAAGACATAATTCTGAAGTTGAGATTTACCTGACACAAATGCCTCTTAGCAGTTAACCGTGGTTCTCAACTTTCTTGAGACCCTTCAATACAGTTCCTCATATGTGGTGACCCCCAACCATAAAATTATTTTTGTTGGTACTTCATAACTGTAAATTTGCTGTAATGAACCCTAGTGTAAACATTTTTC